ATGATTGTCTAGTGAGCCATTTACAATTATCTTTTGTTGTTCCATGTGTTACTTCAATAACAAAAATTGTATTGCATTTGTTTTTAAGCAAAGGAGACTGAATACAATGCATTGTTGGCAAAAATCTTTGGTTTTTGATGTAGTGGGTGCATCCACCACATTAAACCAGCATTTTAACTGCAAGTCTTTGATGCTGTTGTTGTTTATAGAAGGAAAAAAAAGTAACAAGAAATATTTTTCCATTAGTTTCTTTGTTTATTGAATTTCACACAAAGCTACTTAAGAGCCATCTGCACTAGTCATCCACAATTTTGAAGTGATTGTGTACAGGGAAGGCAACTAGTCAACACCACCCACTGCCAACTTTTGGGCTCTCTTTTATCAGTGAATAGTGGGATTGAACATCACATTATAATGCCCTCACAGCTGAAAGGACCAGCATGTTTGGTGACCCATGACCCACATATTGCAAGTTTAGTGCCCTAACCACCTAGCTATGCCAGGCTCCTTTTCCATTAAATAACACTACTTCTCAAGCAATTTTATTATTAAATATATATCAAACTCCAATCCATGGACTGCACCCATAGGACAGTGTTTCCAGCATATCAAGTGAGCTTTGAAACTTCTATTTATATTTAAGGTAAAAAAGTGTTGTTTATAAAAGCAGTTTTGTATGTTAATAAAGAAGATAAAAACATAACCTGGTCCAGTGAAATATAAACCACATGATAAATATTGATCTTCTTGTGTGCACTTGCTGATCAATGGCATGTTGGCCTACTTAAGTTTCAGTGTGTATGTTGGCCTACTTAAGTTTCAGTGTGTGTGTGTTGGCCTACTTAAGTTTCAGTGTGTGTGTGTGTGTAACAATGAAAATTAAAACCCAAAACTTCATCATAGTGAAAACACCTGAAATACGAATAAACTGATATTTCTGCACAAAACAGTTTTGATAATTGCAGATGCAAAAAGTTTCAGGATATACTAGCATGCATTTTTCTCTTCGTGTACACACTAAAGTGGAGCACAGTGGCAGTACTTTATCAGGGATTACATAAAATGGTACTGGTACTAGGCTTATTATTTATGTATTATAAGAGGATTAATATATTTTAAGGCATAACTTTGGCTAGTCTAAACTTTTCTTATGCAACAAAAAACATGGTACATTAAGTTATTAAATCCACTATTGGCTCAATAACAATGTTTTGATGTGTGTTAACAGAAAACTAGGCCATGCACTTTCTTCTTATAGTAAACATGACTGAAATAAGAAAATTATGTTGACATCTTTGACAAAATTATTCAGTTTAAATACAAGATTCAGAAAATATCACAGCTTAGTGAGAGAATTTGAGAGCACCCTACGTATTCTTAAGGGTATATCCTTAATTACAAAAAAAAAGATATTATAGAGTATTCAACATTTATAATCTATCAGTATCTATTACAAATTAGGTTTTGATGAGTAACTTTGCTCCAGTTGCTTATTCTCAGTTATGTTAAATTTTAAAGCTTGTCATTACAGAAAAAAAAAGTAACATTAATACCATCTATTTTTTTTGGAAATTAAAGCTGCAATCATTCATTAATTAAAATAATACAAAAACCTATGTCAATAATATTTAACAAAAGCTACATTAAGTACATACTGACCTATGATCTACAGGATGATAGCCACAAAAAGTTACATTCTTTAAGTTAAAGAAGTAGTCATGGGTTGGCACATGGTTCACCTAAAACACAAAAATTATTACATCAAAACCATTAACAGATAAGTTCTACTAAAAATGAACAGAAATTTATGTAAAGATTAAAAAAAGTAGAAAAAAAAAATATACAAACAAACTTGCAACAACTTAAGACACTTGCAATCCTATCTGTATGTCTAAATGCAAAGTTGGATATAGTACACTGGTCTGCTAAATTTTGACTTTCTTTCTGTCACATCTTTTGAGTATGAAATTTCTAAGAACGAAAAACAGAACTAAAAACTAACTGTCCAGAGAAAGCAATCAATAAGGACAGAAATATAACTTTTTGTTTTTAAAATATTTCTTTAATATATAAAACAATACAAAAGAGCCAATTTGTAAAACATCAAATGTTCTCAAAACAAAACAACCTGCATAAGCCATTTGCAAAATATTCAGTGTGTGTATGTTGCTTACAGATGGTCTGTTACGATCCACCATCCGAAGCCCTTGGTCACTGATTTCAAGAATACAAGAATGCGGAGTCTGAATTCCAAGTTCTGAGGCACGAGCTCTAGCAACCTAAAACAGAATTTAAGGATAATATAAAGACAGACAAATACATCACTGACTCATGTCATCTTAATAATCTATTTAATTACATAATATAATCAATTCATTTTCAATATTTCTGTAAACTTGACATTAGCTCTTTATCACAATTCTTAAACTTCACACAGTAAATTGTACCAGCACATTTGGAAAAATATTCAGAATAAAAAGCTCCAATTATTCATTATTAATATTTTTCTCTCTTAGTTGCTGTCACATGTTTGTTTGTTTGTTTTGAATTTCGCGCAAAGCTACATGAGGGCTATCTGCGCTAGCCAT